AAAATGGGTGACCCCGGAGGACATTATGCTGAGTGAACTATCTCAGTCACAAAAGTACAAATACTGCATGGTGCTACTGTTTTAGAAAGGGACTGACATCAGGGTTGGGGTAAGACTGAGAAAAACTGGATAAATTATGTATACTGCATTGAAACAGATGAGGGAGAGAATAATTTAAAAGCGATATATGATAGGGTTATCACAAGAGTCCAGAATTAAGGTTGCATAGTGGAGTGTACTCGGGGTGGTGGGAGGGGTGTGTGGTGATTGTATGCCAAAGAAGGAATTTTTATTTTTCTTTTCAAAGAGAGTAGTGAACTGGGGTCGGGGAGGGGAAGGAAGGACTGGGCAGGGAGAAAAGTGCAACAATGAATGAATAAAAATCCACAATCTCTGTAAATGGTCATTAAAATTAGTAAAATAAAATTTAAAAAAAGAATATCTTCTAGGAAGAATACAGTTCATTACAGAGACAGAGGAGAAAGAAAAAACAAAGATGGATGTCAGACAAAAATCTGAATATTTCACTAGAGCGTCAAGAAGCCAAAGCAAAGGGAAGAAATCAAGATATTAAGCAGTTGAACAGAAGATTTCAAAGGGCAGCATGAGAAGACAAAATAAAGTATTATAATGAAATATGCAAAGAGCTGGAGTCAGAAAATCAAAGCAGCCAAACTCACTTGGCATTTCTTAAGCTGAGGGAACAAATTCAAGAGTTGAGTTGCAATACTTAAGGATCCTTTGGGCAGAATAGTCAACAAGCCAGGAAACATTAAACAAAGATGGAAAGAGTATACAGAGTCATTGTACCAAAAGAATTGGCGGACACAGAAGAATTTCATGAAACAACTTTTGAGCAAGAGCCTGCGGTGATGAAGGAAGAAGTTAGAGTTGCTCTGAAAGAATTGGCAAAAAACAAGGCCCCAGGAATTGATGACATGACCAATTGATATATTTCAACAAAAAGTACTGCCCTGGATGTGCTCACCAATTACAACTGACTGGCAGAGATCTATGTTTGTTCCCATTCCAACGAAAGGTGACCTTAGAGAGTGTGGAAATTATTGAACAAAATAATATCACATGTAAGCAAGGTTCTGCTGAAAATTATCCCAAAACGACTGGAACAGCACATCCACAGAAAATTGCCTGAAGTGCAGGCTGGGTTTAGAAGAGGCCGTGGCACTTGGCATATTGTAAGTAAACCAGTATAAAAGAAAAATTTTAGGGAGCTCTGGTGGCCTAGTGGCAAGACACTGCACTGCAATCCCAGAGGTATGCGGTTCAAATCCACCACATGCTCTGCTGGAGAAGGAGGGGGCAATCTCCTCCTGTACCATTCAGATCTGATTTGATGGTACACGTAAAAATAATACAATAAAAATTAA